CACTGTAAGTCCATGTCTGTATAAAATAATATCCACCCACATTCTTCCCATGGTAATTCATAATTTATCATGTAATTCTTCAGGGTTTTAAAAGTTAAAAAAATAATAAAACAAAATATCCACCCCACCTCCCAAAAAAACCCTCATCACTGTAAAACCAGTGCAGAACAAAAAACCAGAAGCACAGAGAAAAACCACTGGTGCTTCAGGTTCCAATGCTTCAATACCTACATCTGTGAAACCAAACAGGACATTTGAAGTTATTGGCTGAAGGATTCCCTTCTCAGCTGCATGTGAGTACATATGCAATAAAGCATATGGTAAAACTAAGCCATTGTACAAATATATCAGCTCTTGTGGAGTTACACCAATACAGAATTTCACCCAGCATAGTAATCCTTTGGTTGCAGAGTCAAAAAGAAATTTTAGATGTTTGGTCAAATTCATGTTCTTCAGGCCAAGTCTTTTGTTAATTTAACGGAAAACGCTGTTTGACAAAATGCAAAGATGAATTACTATTTGACCAAGCCAAATATAGTTCAGTCATTTAATTGAGCATCTTCTTCAGACCTTCACAGCAACATATTTGCTATGGCTGCAGTGTGATCCAGTCTCTCCTCTGGGCATCATATACTGTTCCCTTCAAGATCTCCAGAAAGTCTACCCACCTACGCATTTATAGGTCCCAACATTTCCACAGAGTCTGTTCTCCAGACTAACAGATTGGGCAATGGCTTAGTTTCAATTGCCTGCATTTTTTTATATTTATACTAAATTTTAATTTTTAAGTTTAATCTCTTCACCTCTACTTATAATACTTTTTGAACTTCTTAAACATATTTGCAGGCCCCAAAGCAAACAATTAGCATTGCTTCTTTCTTTTCTTTTTCTTTGTAACTCTGACTTTGGTGCAGTTATTGTTTGACTTGATTTGTTTTCTCAATCTGTTGACCAGCTGGTTTAGATTTCAGAGAGGATTTCTATCAGCATCATAATACACTCCTGCAGAGAAACTTTCCAAGATTATAGCCTTACAGTCCAAATCATTAAAAAAAAAAAAAAAAAAAAGTATTACATTACTTCTAGCTAAGCTCCACCCATTTCTAAGCCAAAAAAAAGTTATTTCTGTACTTCATCTACATTTTCTATATGTTTGGTAAAAAACCACTCCATTCCAGTTCTCTGGACTTCAGTAAAGGTCACATTTTTAATGTCTTCATAAAATCTCAGCATTTTTATATTCCTGTCTCTCTGAGCCTTATTAGTCTCTCCAGATTACGGAGATCAAATGACAGCAACTCTCTCCACCAACTTCTCTTGGCTATAACGAACCAGGAGCTTATCACCTACTCACATCACCCAGCACCTCTGTCAGGAGCTCAAGACTCAATTCATTCATAATTATTCACAGAGAAGCCCTTCAGTTGCTTTGTGGAAACATCTTCTCCTGCAAAATACTTGCTTTTATAATAGACCTGTGTTTTGCTCTCTGTGGGCAATGTTCATTGTCAGTACTGTCCTACATGAGGATGCAGAGGTGCTGGAATTTTTGGATGTTACTTTAATATAAGCCAAACATGGAGGGGAGGGACTGAGTACATTCTTGGAGCCTGAAAACCCAATGTTAGCGCTTCACAAAACAAATGCAGGCCTCTGATTCAGAAAAAATAAATACAAACTTCTTCCCACCCTGATTTCACTATTTGGATTATTGCCTACATAATTCATTTGAAAACCAAACCCAGCCTAGCAACTGTCTTGAAAATCGAGTAACCCCAGGTTCAACTGTATTAAAAACCTTCAGCTTCAGGCAAAACTGATGGAACCGCTCATTCGCAGTACTTTCACCAAGCCCTGGCCCTCATTTTATGTTTTTCTGATTACGCTTACATTGTGTTACCATTTACAGGCAGCACTATTGTATTATAACATATATTACCACTAGCTGATTCTGACTGTGTGCATTCAGCTTCATCAACAGCTAAAGATGCATGGCTCACTGCATATTCATCGCTGTATCGACACTTCTCAGCTGTTAAAACAGCTGCATGAACCAGCAACAAGTTTCACAACTTAAAATAGATGTAACCCTGCAGGATACTCGGGCTCAATGCACGTTATGATTCTCACTCATAGGCTGGTCGGAGTTAGGGACGTGGTGCACTTAACTACAGTATTTCTCCACTCAAGCATAGCACTACCCTAAAGGTGTAAGCTACATTAGCGTCTCTGGAGCAGAAGTGTGTTTTTGTAGCAAATCTCCTGATCATTGCCATTTATCATGCTTTGGTTCACACCACAGAGTGATCTGGGGATGGATGAACCCAATTCCTTTTGAAGGAGCTAAGCCAGAAATGCACCACTGACTTCCATCTGCTAGTGACACGTGGTTCAGAGGACCAAACTACAGCTACTGGAGAGCAAGCCCACCTGAAATGCACATAGTGTGTTCTGGGTCCTCAGTACAAAGTGTTTTGTTCTGCAGATCTGCTCCTCTCAGCCCATACTGCTTGCTAAACGTAGACAGAGCTGAGCACAGCTATCTGGCTTCTAGAGAGGAGCTAGCACTTCATAGAAACAAGAATTTATGATATAATTCTTGGGGTTGGATGGTTTCTATCCTCAGCAAACAAAAATATTTCCTTTAAGTTAACATTCATATCAGGCTTTATGAAAAAAAACCCAACCAAAAAACCAACCCAACCAACAACCATCTAGCAAGCACATCATTTTCTGTTTGGAGGACACTCTTAACTCTCTTCTAGGTCCTCAGCTCAAAAAGACATCTAAGAGCACATGCTCAATTCTTCAGTCAACAAGCAAATAAAATACCTTTGCTTTTATTCATTTGCTGTGCCAAAAACCTGTAGAATCACTCCTACATGTTTCAGTTATTGTACTTCTAATATTTGTTAGTTCTTCCCCAGTTTGGAGTATGCACCACTGCTTATCACGGAATAATCAAGCGTTATGCCATCCCCACGTGTTTTTATCTGTCATCATTAGGTGCATCGATATGCATACGTCACTGCCAGAAGAGTTTGGTGTTTATTTTAAATTACTGCAATAATAATGAAAGTGATTGTATTACATTTACATTAAAATAATGTAATGCCAAACATTTAATGTGAAAAAGGATTCCTGAATATATTGTGTGCTCAGTATGTTTCCAGTACAACCATTCTACTGCTACTGCAATGCCACTGTAGATAATATTGTAGATATTACTGTTGATAATACATGGAAACCACTTATCCTCTAAGAATTTCAGTACGTATTTGCTTCATTTCCTTAGTTGGCAACACAGCTTCTTCCTTCCCCTTACTTCAGTGCAAAAACAAACTCTACATGTGATCACTTTCAGAGTTCTGCCTAATTATATAAATGTACTAATTATACACACTGTTCAAATGGTGATAGACTTCAAAGTAGGTAAATTTTAAATTGTGCCATTAAGAAAATCTATTTGATGATGGAAATTTCTGTAATATCATATTGCAATCTTCTACATTGTAATTTTGCTTTCAAGTCAGTATTAATTTAATGACAAATAACAGCAGAGAATAATAGAGTTGGGAAAGCAAACTGAGAGCTGTAAGATTTACAGTGTGATATTGGTCAGCAGATGTTAACAAAAAGGATCAAAAACAATTTGGAAAAGCAATGGATCTAAGGCAAACAATGAGTAGAAAGAAGTTCTGCATGATAAATACGAATACCGAACCTTTAGAAACCACTCTGTTAACAAAGATAAACACCTGCAAGACTGACTTATCCCCCTGTGTTCAGCTACTCCTGAGAAAATATATGTCATTGAACGCTTAATTTACATGCACAGTTATCACACTGCTAAGAACGACTTGCAAATTAGCTACTTGCAGTTCAGAGCATCTCTTTGCATGCAAAATAACGCCAACTGCATGTGCAAACCAGCCCTACAAGTGCGCGCAAAGTCCAGCTCACCAATGTCTTACATTCGAGAAAACCAAACTGCCACACAAGACGTGCACCTCCTTTTCATACCTTGGCACATGCTTCTGACTGATATCCCCTCGCTCTTCAAAGCACAGTTCTTTACCTTTAACATTAGACATTCACCACAAACCCTGGTTCTTCAACATAAGTCTTTAGTGAAGTTATAGCACAAGTGAATGCAGGAAAGCTGATATTCTGTTAGCACTACTTAACAGTTACTGTGTCTATTGTCCTGATGTCCTAGGCAAGTAGTTTATTTCTTACAAGTTATAAGAATTTATATATCTCTGTTGTAGAATCTGGATCTTGCATTGTCAAGACCACTAGGCAGATCAGACAGCAATTACAATGCAGCAACACTATAGGACACTAATCCCTCTGCCTTTAGTTAAAGAATAGCTTCTGTGGCAGGGAAGAGACAGAATCCATCTTCACTGAAAAACAGGACTGTGTATTGAAAGGGAAATGGTTGATCTTCTCTCACACAAATCCTAGTGTCAAAACAAATAGTCTTCCTCAGTCACGGGCTGTCACATTTAATCAAAGACATTTATGGAATGGCTTGATAGAAGCAACTTATAAGCAGCAGGTGGGTGATCCTGAGTTACCAAGCTCAAACACTGATCAGGACTTTCCCCTGTCATTCAAGAACTCTAGGGTCTGAGATTTTGGCTACACTCTTCAGACTACGGGGTCCAGGTACGCTTGAGTATCTTTAAGATCACAGACTTTTGCTCTGGCACACCCATGTAAAAAAAACTCTAGAAGAGATTAAAACTATCTCTGCACAAGTAGCTATTTTTCTTTCTGCATAGTTATAAAATGACTCACACACAAAAAAAAACCCCATTTTGTAAAAGTTGGAATTTAAAGCAAATATGATGCAAGTTCAGTATCAGAATAAGGAGTTCCAACAGCAACACGGAGACAATGCGCAGCACAAAAAAAAGTGATTTTGTGCTAATAAGTGACATCTTTGACCTCCACTCATACGTGAAGCACTTCCACGCTCTGCCCAATGTTACCTTTTGATATTCTTCCTTAGATCTCAAGGCAGCTTCCATCTGTTCCTGAGAAAACGTGTAGATGGCCGAGCGATACTGTGTGCCAAAGTCATTACCTTGTCGCATTCCTGGGGAGAGAGAAAACACAGCACACCATGAGGATCATCCTCCCTACCTGACTGGGCTGCAGGATAAATTCCACAGACCTAAACTGAGGATGTCCCGTACACCTGGATTAGCACGGTCTCCTACGTGCATAGTCAGTAGGTATTTTTAGGAAGTCCAAGTCTTCTTTAGTTAAATAGTCTTGGAGAGATTCCACTCTGCTTTCTCCTTTAAAATGACATGCAAATGAAATGTGAGCATTTTACATTTTGGTACATCACACAGTAGTCAAATACAGATGTAAAACCTTAAATAATCAAGCTGCAGCTACTGTAATCAAGGTACTCTTAAAATATTTATTTTGAACCATGCAAATGGCTACAAAAAAGTTTATTTTACCAAGTGCTTAAATTTTTTCTTGTGCTGTAGAGGAGTGCATCTTAATGGGAGAAAAGTTCAAAATACCCTTAGAGATAAGAGTTATTATTATCCTCTATTCACAAAGCAATGATCTTGCTAAAAGACTATTATGCATGTACTGCTGAATTAACTCTGAAGTTATCAGTTCCTACCATCATCACCACTAGTTACGCAGAGAAGGAATGACTCTTACGAAGCTCTCAAATTGGGGCTCCAAAGAAGACTCCGATAGAGACGAACGCTATGGAGAAGGTTTGGAGAAAGTCTGGCTGCGTTAGTACTGTTACAGAGTGAGTAAGACTTAGAAACAGCAACCCTTTCTTCTTTTTTTTTCTTTTTTATCTTTTTCTTTTTTTTTCTTTTTTTTTCTTTTTTTTTCTTTTTTTTTTGAGTTTAGGAGAAGTAGAAAACAAAGTTATATGTGTAATCTCTACTAAATTCTATTTGCAACCTACATATGGATAATACGAATGGCAAAAGTATGTAATCCTGTTTGTATCTAACATTAGAAAAACAAAACCCTAGTTATACATATTCAGTACCTCCTTGAAATTATATCATAAATGATATAATTTTGGTACTAGGATTAGCCCCTTTACTGCTGATACATGTAAGCCCATCAAAAGACTAGTTGTATGAAATTGCTTACGTACAAATTTCCAAAGAAAGAGATTGATTCTACTTACGAAACTATAAAATAACGCACTAAAGCAGAGGGAAGTTTACGATCCCCTTAGGTGACTAGCCCAGATATGGTTTAGCATTATGCAGTCCTACGCAGCCACGCTGGCCAAAGCCATTGCTGCCTCTCACCGTCATCCACTCCCATTCCCTCCGGCAGCAATACTATTAAGCCGGCTTTGCTGTGGATCATTCCATAAAGTCAAACAACAGCCTTAGAGAGGAGTTTTAGCATTAACAATGATAAATAGTTGATGAAAAGCTCAACACAAGCCGGCAATGTGCGCTGGCAGCCCAGAAAGCCACCCGTGTCCTGGGCTGCGTGTCCAGCAGCGTGAGCAGCAGGTCGAGGGAGGGGATTCTGCCCCTCTGCTCCGCTCTGCTGAGACCCCCCTGCAGTGCTGCGTCCAGCTCGGGGGTCCCCAGCACAAGAAGGACATGGAGCTGTTGGAGCCAGGCCAGAGGAGGCCACGGAGATGCTGCGAGGGCTGGAGCACCTCTGCTCTGGAGACCTCAGGCTGAGAGAGTTGGGCTGGTTCAGCCTGGAGAAGAGAAGGCTGCGGGGAGACCTTGGAGCCCCTTCCAGTCCCTGCAGGGGCTCCAGGAAAGCTGGAGAGGGGCTGGTGGCAAGGGCAGGGAGGGACAGGCCAAGGGGAATGGCCTGAAGCTGCAGGAGGGGGGGTGGGGATGG